TGTGTGTGTGTCCTCTTTCGCAATCGTGGAACTCGCTTGGCCATATTAAGCGTCAAAAATGTACACTTTATACCTACTCGTTATTCCCTTCTCTCTCTCTCTCTCTCTCTCTCTCTCTCTCTCTCTCTCTTTTACTAAACGCAGTGATAGTTGAATTCAAAAATCAAAGAAAATAAAACGCTAAGAATCGTGTGAAAGGTTTCTTTTACATTAAACGACAAGGAAATTGCAAGAATTGCATTATAACTCGTTGCATTATGGGAATATGCTTTGAACTTCCTCGTTTTTTATTCATTGCAATTTTTAAATTTCGTTGATTAATCCTTTTAAACTCTTCCCTGTTACAATGGGGGTATCACATTATTATGAAACACACCCTGTATAATATTAATAAGAAGTTTCTTATTTAAATATTAATATAATGAAATATATATATATATATATACGTAAACATGTACACATGTATCGCTTGCACTTGTAAATTCGTTAGTTGCATCCCTCGTCCCAGGCACACAGAAGGAGAGAAAGAGAGAGAGAGAGAAATAGAGAACCTGCTGTTGTATAGCACTCTCTTTCGCCACTCGCTGCCATGCACTCGAGTTTCGATCCCCTTTCGAACGAAATACTAGGGTTATTTTACCCTTTTTTTTCGTAGAAAGATGTTTCGGAATGAAATCAGCACCTTTTCTCTATCCTTTTTTCCCCCCTCCTTCCCCACTTCTTTCCTAATAAATGTATCAATTGTCAAATTAAATGGTACATTTTATCGGTGAGAAATTTGAGAAATTAAAATTGAACGGGACTAGGAAATGACAGTGCAGGCAAAAAGAAAGAAAGAAAAGAAAGCAAAAACAAAAACAAAAAGAAAGAACAGAAATGAAAAGAAAAGAAAAGAACCCGTGTAGAAACCATCGAAGTCGTCGAAGAATCGAAAGAACGAAGAACAAGAGAGTGAGAGAGAGAGAGAGAGAATGTGTGTATGTATATCGTGGTACACGGAATACCGGGAACTCGAGTTGTTCGAGAATAAAAGAGTAATTTTCCGGGTGGTGAGACGCCGATAATGGGGTTGCAGACTGCCGAGTCGACTGAAAAGTGATTAAGCACACATGACGGAGCCCGCGGACTTGCCAGGATATTACGAGCCACCCCTTTCGAACCATCCTCTCCCCCTTCTCGTATACACACACTCTCTCTCTCTCTCTCTCTCTCTCTCTCTCTCTCTCTCTCTCTCTCTTACTCTTTCTCTTACTCCTACCATCATCTTCTCATCCGCAATTCGTCCTACTACCTATTCTCATCTTCTTCGAGTACGTCGTATTAAACGAATAGCCCTACCTCATCCCTCCTAGCCCCTCTCCTCACCTAACCACACTTCATTTTACTTTCTCCTCTTTCTTCTCCTCCCTACCACCACTTCCTTCCGGGCAACCTTTCTTACCCCCCTACCCCCTTACCCCCTTACCCCCTTATATTCAACCTGATCGTTACGATCAAGCCTACGACGGTTAACTCGACTAACCGATCGTAACATCGATGAGATTCTTTATCTACGATTCTTATTAGTCCAACTCCACCTTCACCTCCTCCTCCTCCTCCTCCACCTCCACCTCCTCGTTCCACGTTTTTTCTTCTTCGCGTTTCGATTCGATCATTGGATGCTGCCTCGATGCGTTTCTTCTACCTGAATAATAGAAATTACTCGTGCGACGCAATTCCGATAGAAAGGGAAAAGAGAAAAGCAGTAGAAAAAGGGGGGAGGGGGATTTAGGGGGATGAAGAAAAAGGTTTAACGATCGGTAGAAAATAAATCGGTAAACGAGCGTAACAGGAAGGAATAAGGTTCATTCGTGTATTTTCTCTCTTTTATATGTTGAAAATGGCGAATCTTGTCTCGTACATGGGAGGAAAGATAATAAAAAGATAAGACTAACACGTCGTCGTATCTATATGTGATCACAGAAAAATAGAAAATTAGTTCTATCGTGGACAACCACGCGTTGACAAACTTTATCAACCCTACGTGCTTCGCAAAAGGGATGGATAACCATCAACTTACTTAGAGATACTCAGCACGTGCCCTTTATTATCCCCTGTAGATCACAAAAATAAAACGATTTTGTAACTCGTTTCACGCTATTGTCCAATTTTCCGATAAACAATAAGAAAATACATTAAACATTTTCAAATCTTTGTAATTTCATCTCTCTTTCTCTCTCGACATATAAAATGGACTAATTGCAATTTGAACAAAGTTGTATTCAAAGATCGAGAGTGGCTCTATCGTGGAAAAACCACACGTTGACCGCTTTTACCATCGAGGGGGTTAGAAACGACGAAAGATGTGTGTATGTGTGTGTGGGGGGGGGTGAGGGTAAGAGAAAGTTGCTTGGGGGCTTTAGGGTAGAACGTACGTACGATCACGAAACGTAAAAAAGACGAAGAAGGAGGAGAGGACTGAAAATTGTCCATCCAATTCCAACGTTGGTGATATCGGTTGGATTGTTGGATGAGGGCTTGGAAAAGTGGGTAGAGACTACTATACTAGTATTGGCCTCGTCAAGCGGTTTCAAGCTCGCCGATACTTCGTCGACCCTTATGAAGCCAATCACGCTTTACCTCCCACAAAGGAGTTCCACTCGTGTCGACCTTCCGCGACTGCCTTCGTGTCACGTATTATTAATTCTCTTAGATAACTTTGCCAAAGAGAGAGAGAGAGACCTATACGTTCGAAAACTGAAGAACTACTTTTTTTTTTTTTAATACACTCTCTCACAAACGTGGTTTTTTTATACAAAAGAAATAATCACCCTCGTTTGAATCGTTCAATATTTTTTCTTTTCTTTTTTTTCAATAATTTCTAAGGGTTTATAATATGCATCAAAATTGCATATCGATATTTTATTTATCCAAAAATACTGTCATTTAGTTATTTTAATAATGTTTTATTTTAATTCAAAGTCGTACGAAAATTCTCGTTATCGCGAAAACAACCCTTTGTGTAGGATCGAAGTAGGAAGGTAACGATTGCATTGGTATAAGTGTATGGTATGCTTTTAAATATATCCCATGTGTGTGTGTGTGTGTGTGTGTGTGTGTGTGTCGACGTTAGATATACGCGTTGAAGGGCTCGGTTGGTATTGCATGCAGATTTACCTTTCATGGATAAAGATCTGCGTGCAAGGTGGTGCGTGCTCGTCGAAAGTCCTACGGTTTTACTACTTACGGCGATTTAATTCGTTATCGTCGTGTTCTCTCACCAAAGAGGGAGAGGAGGAAGACCGAACGTTAGAGAGTGAACTATCCTATAAAACGTGGTGTACGCCGCCTGTGTCAGATTAGATCGTGATCCTCGAGCTTTTAATTAAGAGTCCAAACTTTTTAAACACACTATGATTCCAACTTATTCGTTTTCTATATTCAAACTAAATTGTTCGCTTTAATTAGAAACTTTCAACTTTGTTTAAATCACGTAATTAAAAATTGTCCATTTTTAATAATAATAATAATAATAATAATAATAATAATAATAATACACTTAACTTTTTTATATTACAACTAGGGGTGCCCCGCAATGCGTTGCTGTAAGATAATCATGACTCTTTGTTAATAAACAAATAATATTGCGATTATAAATTGTGATATAAACTATCCTATTTTTCAAGTTGGATAAAACTACAAACTGTGTGCAAAATTTGATTAAAATCGGTTCAAATTAGGAGTCCATTGCGAACAAACAACGTGACACATCATTTATAGATATTAAGAAGAAGATTTTCTATCCCTTTTTTTTATATTCCTAAATCTCTTGCTAAATATTATCCTATAAAATTATTATTATCGTTGAGATAAACTAACTAATAAAAGATTTAACTACAAAACCCAATTAGACAAAATAGCACACTTATAAAAGATAGTATAAAAATGATCGTGAAAATATTTGCACGAGTAAACAAAAGGGGGTGGTTGCCAAGTGATAAAATTTAAAAATAGTCAGACCACATTTTAAAAAAAAAAAATAAACGTAACTTACTGTAAAGTCTAAGAACGAATAGAAAATAATCTTTGATTGTTTTCAATTATGTTGACGAACAAGATATGTTGGTTCTCCTTTCTCTCTCTCTCTCTCTCTCTCTCTCTATTGGGTGTCGAGTAGAGTTGTTGGGTCTTTTAGAGAGGGTGCGGTCTCTACGGTTCGTACCGTTGGCTGCCGCTAACGTTTAGCCGGAGCTGCCTGCTGATCGATGCCCGCTTGTGTCGGTAGCAGCTACGTTTCGTGTTTGTACTGTAAACCGACGCGATATTAAATACATAGACTCCTTTCGTGCAATCGAACCGCTCTTCTTTGATCTCTCTGTAATAATGTTTATTCTGTATCTGTTAATTCGCCCGCACACCATCGTGTCTCTTCTCTCTCTCTCTCTCTCTCTCTCCTTCTCTCTGCATTTCTCTACTATTGCATATGTGTGTTGTGTGCATAGGAGATAGAAAGAGAAAGGAGAAAATGTATCTCGAGATACATGAAGGACAATAAACTGATCGAATAATAAAAAAACAAAAAGTATACTTCTCAGGTAACTGCAATTCTCGAATCACCCTGAATAATTAACTACCTTTTTAATTATCTACCTGCGTACGTATGCGTGTGCGTATGTGTGAGAGGGTCAGGTGGACGAGGAAAATTGGTGGTGACATTGTCATGTTGAAATGTTTACCCAACACGAATAGATTAATGAAAATTAATATGCATATTAGTAAGATTTATGTGATACATGTTTCAAATGTTCGAATATTAAATTGTTGTTTATGTTTGCAGGTCTGACTAGGGCGCCGATGTATTCCTTTTCTACGGGCCAATATCCATACCCCATGCTTAGTCCGGAAATGACGCAAGTCGCTGCTTCTTGGTACGTAAAAAAGCACGGGAGAAAAAAAAGAAAAAAAAAAAAAAGAAGCAAATCTTGTTGTATACATCATCGGGGATAAATTTGGTTAAGTTAATTTTAGAAATCACTAGGCGACCTATATAAACGAGAGTACATTTTACTCGATATTATTATTATTATTATCATTATTATTATCCGTCAAACGAATTTGTACATTATGATGATTTATTGCTATTTAAAATATAATTCATGACGAATTAATTTAGAATTAGTTCCAATAGAAATAACTAATAACTAAACCGATAATAATGAACTCATTCAACTGAAATGAATTTGCTTTTCATTCGAAATTCCGAATTCCGAAGAACGAAGTAATAGTACTCCCCAAAAAAAAATATAAAAAAAGAGAGAGAGAGAGAGAGAGAATAAGTGGAGAATAGTTAAACGAGAGTGCTGCTGATTTTTCGAAAGCTTCGGACGTAAACATAGAACGGTCCGCCGGTAAATAGCACAAGCCAGACCTATTGAAAACAGGTTCGATGTTCTAAACGAGCCAGGAACAAATAGGAAAGAATCAAAAACACGTATAAAGAGAGAAAAAGAGAAGTAGCTCGAATTCGGGGTCTAAAAGTCCCCCTACCTTGGTGGTGGTCGAGCTTTTTCTCGAAAATCTCGACAACGTCATTGGTTGCAAAGTGTGTAGTGTGTACCGGCCGTGTTTCGGTCAGTCTGGTCGTTCATCCTCTCGGTTCCGGTCTATTAGATCGGATACAGAACGACGCGGTGGTAGTTTAGGATCGTCGATGGGCCGAGGGCCACCCTCCTCTCTTTCACGAAAGGCGGTTGCCCGTTCAGAAGCAGCAGCAGCAACAACAACAGCAACAGCAGCAACATCCTCGTTCAGAACTTTCGCTCCCTCCTTGTTATTTGCTTTCTGCCCGACCCACCGCAAATTGAGATTTTCCACGGGTGATTAGATCTCTTCTCCTCAATTAGGAGATCCCTGTATACTACTCTCTCTTTCTCTCTCTTGTTGTATTTTTTTTTTCTTCCTCTTATTCTTCGTTTCCCTTTAATCGTTATGCCAACAACAACAAAATTCTCGTTAAAGAGATAATAATACGAAAGAAAGGAACTCTCATTTCTCGTTGGTCACCAGTGATTTCTTCTTCATCTAATTCATTTTAAGGATCCTCTCGGATGATCGAATTACACTTTAAGGGATAATATCAATTTATAGAATCGATTGATTTCAGGCATACACCAAGCATGTACCCCATTTCACCAGCGAGTGCTGGATTTCGAAGTCCGTATCCAACGAGTTTACCCATTTCGAGTACGAGTTTATCAACGTTAGTATATCAATGTTAATAATACATTTTTCATTTGTTGTTCATCTATCAAACAATACAAAAAATATATTATCGATGATTTTTTTGTAGCGATCTGTACCGATTTTCGCCGACGGGTCTGATGCCACCTCATCATGGATTGGGTCCTCACGCTCACGCGTTGGCGTCCCACGCATTGGTGTCTTCCGCGCCGAAAACGGATCATTCTACCCTGGATCACAATCACAGGTTCGTATAAATATCCTCGGTCGGTTAGATTTGTTTGAAAAAAACTCCAAAACAAAAAAAAAGTCTCGATGATGATGATAATACCTTCGAATTCCTACGTGTATCCAAAAATTTGCGAGATCAGCACCGATAGTTTCGACGGATGGTCAAAAGAAAAAGCTGACCAAAGGAGAATCTCTAAAATTTACGTCGATCAATGAGAAGAACAACCAACCCTTTTGATAAAAGTTATCACCCTGACAAAGAAGAAGTCTAAACGTCGACTAATTGCTCCACCGATATTTACGAATAAACGTGAATGGGCAAGAAAAATATAGGGGAAAGTTATTCGTGTTTAACATCGACGGTCGAAGAAGAAGGAAATGCTTTATTTACTCGGATACTGACTTTACCCATGGTAAACTTGATGGATACAACAGCAGCAGCAGCAGTAACAGCAACGATCGGAAAAGAAGGACTATGCTAGAGAAGAGAGACTAAGGGTCGATCGGGTGGTGGTGCCTCGTAACGCGTATAACCGAACGAGTAACAACATTCTGGTCGGCTGATAAGGAAGTACCGATCGATTCGAAAAGGGGATGAAATGGAAAGAGAAAGAGTGTGTTGTTGAAGAATGAGAGAGAGAGAGAGGGTAGAATTTGTTGGGGAAGGATAGGAAAATAGTTTGAACGACGTCCATAGGTGGAAGCACGTGCCGAGATAGAGAGGACCACTAGTCCAAAACCCCCTTCGATTCTCTCTCTCTCTCTCTCTCTCATCCCTTCATCGTCGTCAACACGAGGACTCGCGTATATTACATTTATCGAATGGCTCTTTCTCTCTGTCTCTGTTGCGCTTTCTCTCTTTTCCCCGCACCCCAGAGCGTCTGCGCTGGTAACTCTGTCGACTGCCGACGCTGCCACCACCGACGCCGCCGTCGCCGCGTGATGTATTGATCATTACACTCTTAAACAGATTTCTAATTTGCATTAGTAGTACCCGGGCGATCGCGGCCTAGGCTGACGCTGTGTACACACAAGGCCGCCGCATGCTTATCCTCCACGCGTCTTCCTTCTTCTTCTTCTTCTTCTCCTTCTTCTTCTTCTTCCGCTACCTCTTCTTCTTCCTCTTCCTCTTCTTCTTCTTCCGTCTTTGACATGGAAGAGAGAGAAAGAGAGATTAACAAAAAAGGGGAGAAAAAGACAAATGGAAAGAAACAACGTTTGTGAAACAACAACTCTTCTCGCACGTTTAAGGAAGGAAAATCGTTTCGTCCAAAGTACCACTAGCGTACTTTGCTTATTTGATCTCTTTCTATCAAAAAGAGAAAGAGAGAAGGAAGGAAGGAAGAAGAGGACAAGGATCGTATGAATATATATATATATATATATCTCTGAGATACTTGGGAGAGAACCCTCGTCGTCTCTGAACAAAGGCTGACGTTGTTGTTGGGATTCGCTCGTTCATCGGCGTAGTTTACGAAGCGAGAGAGAAAGAGACGATCGGACCCCTTCGGACACTATCGGCAGGAACGCGACAGCAGCACCTTGACCCTCGACCTCGATCCGTTCATAAACCTCGTCGCGGCGCAAGTGGGACGACCCAGCCACGCGAGATCGCAAAGATCGACGGTAGCGCCTCATGGTGGCCCGCCAAAAGGGCCAAGAGAAAAAGGCTTCGCTATTCTCAATAGAAACGACAAAAAAAAAATCCCAAAAAATAACAAACAAAGAGAGAGAGAGAGAGGACGATATGGTTTTAGATGGGGGTAGTAGAGGGAAACACACTCTTCTGGTAGATGGTAGAAAGACAATACGCTATGTGTGTGTGCATGTGTGTACCTATATGCGATCTTTATCATCGCGTTGTAACTGAACAAACCAGTAGAGTATGAAAGAACAAGAGAGATAGATAGAGAGATAGATAAAGAAGAAGAGGGAGAGACGGAGAGAGAATCGGCGATGATGGCTCGTGCTGCGAAGCACCCTTCTCCACCTCGTGCAGCTCCTCTCTTGCTCTTCTCCACCACCTCCTTCTCCCACTGTCGCGGATAATCAATCGTCGTAACACCGGTCGGCGATTCCACCACGACGGCAGCAGGAACGACGCGTTTCGAGGAAGAAGTGAAAGAGAGAGAGACGACCAGACAAATATATAGGGTGATCGAAAGGGAGAGAGAGGAGGGAGAGGGTGAGGGAGAGAGAGGAGGGAGAAAGCGAGGAAGAGAGAGAGATATGAAAGATAGAATGGGAAAATCGAGAGAGAGAGAAAGAGAAGGGAGAGGAGGGGAGGAATACGAGAGAGAGATATAGAAAACAGACGGTCGTCGGATGCCGCCCCCGGAGACATTTTATCGTACGAATCGTAGGACGACGAATCGTCGAACGGCAACGCGAGATACGCGTGCCATCATCAACGTCGGGAATAATACTGAATCTGTGCGCGCAATGGAGTCCTCAGTTGAGAATCGGAACGCCGAGAAAATCGGAGGAACCGTAGTAGATCGTAGTACAAGTAGATCGGTGTCGCGTTCACGATCGTGATTTCTTTTTTTTTTTTTTTTTGTCAAAATAAAGTAATAACAGTGAGTTTCAGTTTTCAAGCGTTGCAGGAAAAATACGAAAGAGAAGTGGATTGAAGAATAATGGAACTGTGGTGGTATATACACGGCGGGGATACCCGCCAAGGGTGGAAACTCGTGATCGTTATTCAGAGTGTAGCGTAAATACTAAGAGAAACGGTAGCAGTCTTCGGTAGTGAATTTTGTGAGAAAGTGGTGGAAGTGGTGGTGGTGGTAGTGGAGAAGGAGGCGGAGGAGGAGGAGGAGGAGCGATGTTGAGGGGAAACGGGGGGGAGAGTACGAGGATAAATCCGTAAGAGGACACATGGCGATGGAGCCCGAGTGTCTGGAGCCTTTGAACTTGGTGATTAAGAAAGACGATACTGGTAGAGGAGGAACCGTGATCGAGGAAGAAGAAGAACGGATCGGCGACAGTGGCAAGTCGATGAACGTGATCGACGAGGAAGAGGAGGAGGAGGAGAGCACGGACTCGACCAGGATGATCGAGAACAACGTGACGACGATATTGCAGGACGCCTGCAAGGCCGGGGGGGAATCTGGTTTACCCATCGCCGATCAGAAGATTCTCACGGCCCTCTACATGAGCAGCCTGATGAACATGTCGAACGCCAGCACCCTGCCGCGGAATGTAACTTCGTCGCCCCCGTACGCGGCGCAACACAACTTGGTTCAGTTGTTGGCCATGCTCGAGGCGCGACACCGCGTGTGGCAACAGATGAACAACTGGCCAACACCACAAAACTTTTTGAGAAATCCCTTAGGCCTACCTCCGCAACCTTATTTCGCGGACTCGCCGAGCGCTAATCAGCTAACCGAACAATTGTGCACCTCGCAAAATCCCACGCCGTCCTTTCCTTTATCCTCCGCGAAGGCTGAACCTTCCAACCACGAGACTAAACAACCTTATTTCAAACGGTAACCATCTAATACCAATTCAACAACTAATAAATCATTTTCTAACTTGTTCAACTATTTCAACGTCCTAATCCTATGTTTTTAAAGTATTCTTCTTATCGTTTTTTTTTTTTTTTCAGGTCTACGATAGAACAGAAAAATTCAGCCTCGTTACCTGCGGACAACGCGAAAAACCAAGATACAGGACAACAAAACAATCAAGGTAATAAGCTAACTTTTTCTTTCTATTTGTTGCTTTCTTAATCATTCCTAATTGATTATTTATGTGTTGTTCGACAGATAAAAAGAAACCCCATATAAAAAAGCCTCTGAACGCATTTATGCTCTACATGAAAGAGATGAGGGCAAAGGTAGTGGCGGAGTGTACCTTAAAAGAAAGCGCTGCCATCAACCAAATATTAGGAAGACGAGTGAGTAATAATGACGTTCTCTTCGTAATTCTTATCATTTTTTGAAGACATTGTCTTCCTCTACGTTCGAACCAAAGATTACTACAAAGGTTTATTCGAGTCAAACCTTAAATTAAGGATTCGTTTTCCATTGAAATGTTGTCATTTAAATTAAAATCAAAATTAGATAGAGAAATGAAATCTCTGGTTCGAGAACGCAAGAGGAGAGAGTAGTTAATATTCGTCCAAGTCAATATCTTTTCCGGAATGTGTTTTATACAATCTTTGTTCAAGATCTTGTTTCAGTAAAACGAATTTGCAAATCCATAAGGGCTCTTTTAACAAACAAAAATAAATTAACTAACCACACAGAGAATGAAAGAAAAGGAAGAGATGTTGACTTGACGAGGAAGAAGTTTGAATGTTTTTCAGATGTCAAAAGAAAAGAAAAGAAAAGAAAAAAAAAAGAAAAAAAAAGAAAAAAGAAAATATATCAATTACAAGAAGATTAAAATAATAACGAGAACAAGAGAGGAAAAAAATAAAATAAATAAATTAAATAAAAGTTTCTTAACGCATCTCGATATTAACAAAAAATTAATATACTTGCATGCGTCGTCTTCTTTTTAAAATATTATTACACCTTTTGGAATAAATATATAATATATATGTACAAAAAAAAAACTATATATATTATTCGCGTGTGTTGTTGTTCGAAAGATAATAATATATAAAAAAAAAAAAAAGAACTACATAACTAACCGTTTACCTGCTAGTATCTCAGTACGAATATAGCATTGTAGGTGGGATCTAAGGAAATCTCATATGTATATACATATACATATATGTATATACATGTACATACATACGGCGTAGATCTTTTCGTTCGTTCGTTCGTTCGTTCGTTCGTTCGTTTATGGGGGTGGGTTGGGTAGGTAATTTAAAAAAAAAAGTTAAATGATGATAAACCGAGAGGACGTTTAGCTAAAACTCTGCCGATTGGGGTTGTTGTGTATATGCGTATCGGCAGATCAGATGACGATGACAATGACGATGACGATGAAAATAAAAACAAAAAAGTATAAAATAAGTTCGATTGGGATGATGATAAAAAAAAAAAAATAAATTAAAAAAATTAAAAAAAAAAAAAGAACACGGTGATGCACGGTTAAAGTACTGTGAGAGTTGTGGAATTTGTGAATCTGAATTTTGGGGGTATGATCACGCAGTGGCACTCGCTAAGCCGGGAGGAGCAGGCGCGGTATTATGAGGCGGCCAGGCAGGAGCGCCATCTGCACCAGCAACGATACCCCGGCTGGAGTGCCAGGGATAACTACGGATATGGCAGCAAGAAGAAGAAGAGGAAGAAAGAGCGCTCCGCAGATCCCACCGGAGGTACCACTTTCCAGTGCTAGAACAGCAGGCCCTTATAATAATAATTTATTATATATATTTATATATAATACTTAATAGTAATATATATATATAAAAACCTCTAACTTAATTAATATGGTTCATTGAAACGATCAAAGATCTCTGAGCGTATCTCTTTTTTCTTTTTTTTTTTCTCATCATTTTTTTTTTTTTTTTTTTTTTTT